CTGAATCACTTCTGAGAATCTTTGCTGGTCTTTGAAATGTTTTGTTTTCTTTCCAACCCGTTGAAATTTTGTTTTATCAACTTTTTGGCAGTCTAGAAGTAGAATCATGGAATTGTAGAGTTGGAAGGTACCCAATGGTCATCTAGTCAAACACCTGCAATGCAGGAAAAAAAGCAAACATAGAAAATATGAAGGTAGCTCAGTCAATATCTTAACAATGAGTTTTCAGCCCAAGTAGAAAGGTCACAGTTAGCATTCAGATGGGATCCTATTGGTCCCTTATATAGCAGCTGGCATACTGTCCTCTGTCCACCCATATGAAGCAGAGTAAAAAATAGAATATCAGCCCTGGCAAACTACCATGCTGGCACAGAGGGTATGAAATATGCTTCCAGATTTCTACTTTGAGATCCCTGGCACTGGATAGGAACCTCTAATAATTGCATGGGATTTTGCTTTGGTGATAACGTCTGGGCTTAGACTTAGACTTAAGATGACTTAGACTATTGACCATTGAAGCCCAGTATTATCTTCTCTGGAGTATCAGGGCCTTCAACCCTGATACTTTGAGATCTGTTTTTCAAACTGGAAGCTCCAGGGACTGAACCTGAGGGCTGCTACATGAAATGATGAAGTCTGCCACCAGGCAACAACCTAATCTTTTCTTTTCTTTTCTTGCCTCGACAATTCCACATGAGGAGGAACCTGTGAGTTTTCCTTTAGGCAAAATATTAATGGCAATTCAACTTTTACTGTATATTCCTATTATTTCCTCAAAGGTTGAAAAGGAAACTAGCTTTCCCTTGAATATTAATGACTGGGTGAAAACTGTTGGCCGAATCATGAAGAAGCAGAAGGGACAACCGTTTCCCCCAACTTTTTAAAGTTGCACCACATATAGAAATTCAACATATGCAGTTTTTCCAACATAGATATGCTGTGGTAGGAAAGGTGCACCTTTTGAACTTCTGCCTGTTGCATGAAGTGGCTTGTTTTTTAAAGAGCTTATGTTAGTGAAGAAGAAGAAGAAGAGTTTGGATTTGATATCCCGCCTTTCACTCCTTTTAAGGAGTCTCAAAGCGGCCAACATTCTCCTTTTCCTTCCTTCCCCACAACAAACACTCTGTGAGGTGAGTGGGGCTGAGAGACTTCAAAGAAGTGTGACTAGCCCAAGGTCACCCAGCAGCTGCATGTGGAGGAGCAGAGACGCGAACCCAGTTCCCTAGATTATGAGACTACCGCTCTTAACCACTACACCATACTGGCTCTCAGTGAAAGGATGGCAGCCAGGTGACAGCAGCCATTCATTTTCAAAGATTCACTTTTTTCATTGTCTTGGCTGTTCAGAGGCATTGATAACAGAGGTTGTACAGGGTTCCTTGATGGTGATCTGTTACTCTGCTGCTTCTCTCCAGTGCATTATTATGGGCTACACAGACAATTAATTGGCCATTGCACAAGGCAATCTGATTGTGTGAACTGTTTCTCATTCTGTCCCATCCATTCATCGTATTCTCTTGCCCCAAAGAAAGCTTTAAAAATGTAATGCTAACCGATAAATCTTTTTATAATAGGATGTAGAGCCTATACTCTAATGAACAGATGTGAAAAATTACATGTTCCAGTGATGAAATAAATTGCCCTATTAACAGCTTAATCTTATTTCATCAATATTTGATTTGTAGCAATCACTGAGAATAAATGTGCCCATAAGCTCAGTGATTTCAAATTCCAACCCACAGTGCTACGTCCACTTTTTCATCAAAATGTCATTATTTCTGCATTGTTACCACTTACACTCTTAGACAGAAAGTATTTTAAAGAAACAAAATACTTTGACTCTAAAAAGTTTGTTTAGTCTAATAGTTCTACAACAACGATAGAACATTTTATATTTGAGTTTATAAGCACACACTAAAGATAAAGCCAGTGTGTGTGAAATATTCATAGGCATAGCTGTCAACCTTCCCTTTTTTTGCGGGAAATTCCCTTATTCCAGCACCGTTTCCCACTGCTTCCCACTGCTATCCTGGATTGTTAGATATCCCATAGTCTGTCCCCGGAACAGGTGAGGCTGCTGATCCCTTATTTTCGAGGCTGCTGATCCCTTATTTTCAAATCTGAAAGTTGACAGCTATGATTCATAGGTGGAATCTTGGCTCTGTTGAGCTTAACAGCTAAGCTTGAAGTTACTTTAGTCTTACTACAAGAAAGTGAAATATCATAACATGGTGACCCCAGAATGGGCATTTTCTGCTATTGACCATGTACTATGGAATGCCACTCCCTCTACCCTACGTGAAGCAACAACCAACAGTTGTTTTATGTGTCTTGTGAAGACCAGTCTATTTGTCAAGCTTTCCCTGACCAAAAAGATTGGACCTTGTTTTATGTCAAGGCTGGCGTCAGATGCAGCAATAAAGGATGCAGATCTCTGTTTTTAGTGAAGTTAACTTTTTATTCAAGGAAATGGACATACAACAGCCTAGTGGTCTCAGCAACATTCCTCAGCAGGTCTTGCCCCTATGGAGCAGTTGCCAGTTTCTATGCTTTTATACTATTGCTTCCACACCTCTCTAAGTCTCCTCCTCTCCTGGATGTTTCCCAAGCAGTTTCATACTGCACATGCACACCTCTGACCTCTGTTCTGCTCTTCTCATTGTTCTGTGAGTTCTTGGAGACCAGGGGGAGGGGAGCTTGTTGCAGCAAGAGAGGGAAGGTCTCTGGATTCTTCAGCAATTCCTTGACCACCCCCTCCTCTGCTTCAGCTTCGGAGTCTGAACTGCTCCCTGTCACAGGCTCTTCCTGCTCACTAAACCCTGTCGCCCCTTCAGCACTTCCCCCCAGTCTTCTCCCTCTGACCTCTCCTCAGTGTCCCACCAGCAATCCCCTGCTCTTAGCTTTCCTCCTCTGGGGGTTCCCTGGCTGGTTCCTCCTACCACTCTTCTTCATCCAGCCAGTTCCTGACATTTAATGTGTTGAAGTTCTCTGGATTCCTGTTATTATTTTTCTATGCTTTTATACTATTGCTTAAATGGGTTTTCTGTTTTGCTTTTGCTGTTGTTTTATACTATGCACTTAGAGATTTTTGAGAGATTGAGCATTTTATAAATGCTTTTAAATTTAAAAATAAAAAATAAAAACTGGAAATGAGAGATGAAAGGAGGCCTTGCTGAAATCAACTGATGAAACTGAGAAAGTCACACACTCTGCAAATCAGTATAACGTATGTTCAGTATAACGATTAAGGAACACATTCTACTCTTTGCTCAAATCCCAAGTGTTGTAATCTTACGTACATACCATTCATGTTGATGGAGCTTGTATAGCAGAAGTTCCCGGTGGATCATATCCAACAGCTTTCTAATGAGCACATCAGGTGATATGAAAAATGAAAATGAAAAAGCTTAATTGGCTGAGAAGCGTTAGGAAGTGAACACATATTCATGGATAGCAAAGATAATAATACAGCTCTGAATAAAGCACTGTTTAATGGCAGGATACTCTAAACACAAAGGATGCCATTAAATTGAGATCCAGGGTATTATAAACATGTGCTTATTTTAGGTTTGTTATTGTGTAGATGCATTGCAGTTGCAGGGACCACAGAAGTTTACATCAATATGTAAAAGCTTTTCACTTGCAGGGCTTATTAAAAAGAGAGGAGGGGAACTTTTTTGTTTAAAGGAATAATTTGAATATCTGAAATTTGATGTTTAAAAATTCAGGAGCTTCATCTGTTGAACGTTATAAAACTACCAAAATATACAATATAAATATCTCATTTTACTAAAGAAGTCTAGGCTAACATCACATTCTTTTGAAAAACCAACCAATATATCCATATTCAAAGACAAGAGACCTACTTACAGGGGAGGAATGGACAAGCCAGAGGTCTCTGAGGTTATCTTTGTGGATGGGTGTATATTGCAGGTGCGGCTGCATATTGCACTCCCTTAAGTCCTTTGTTATTGCTCTTGGCCATCCTTTGACTCTGGTTTTTGGACCTTTCTGTGGAAGGTCTATTCTGTATTATGTATTCTAATCATAATTTTCCTTTAAGGTTGCTGCTTTAACCTCTCTTTATTCCTTAGGTTTACTCCATTTACCTGGTTTTCATTCTTAATGCATCCTGACCTTGCTATGGTTGCTAATGGTTGCCGTATTCAGAGCCAGGAAGGAATTCGCCTGTAGAGAAATTGGTCGGTCTAGAGGTTTTGCCTTCCTCATAGCAAACCATCACAACTTTGGGCAGTTAAGGCATTGGGTGGAATCCTAGTCTTCAAGCTTTGGGGTAAAGTGGTACATCACCCTGCCCTGAACCAGCGGCGTAATCAGTGTACCCTGTTAGAGGGGTCTCGGTGGAAGCTTTTGTCCAGTAGTGAAGCATGGGGACAGATGAGCCATAGAGCTTCTAGTGGCATCCTTAGGACAGTGATCTCAGTAGATCAACACCTTGGAGGAGGCCACATTCCTTGGCACAACACTGAAGTCGTTTCAGCCCTCTGGTAGGAGGCTAAAATGGATATACACCCAATGCCTGAGCCAAAATTCCACCTCCACCTGTAATCAATAAAGTTGTGGCCTTTTTTAATCCAGCTCATTGTGTGTTTGAGTTTATTCTATCACACCTCACATTACTCACTGCAGAGGGAAGGGTGGCACTGTGACTGGTACTACAATCACGTTATTCTTGTTTTGGATGCATTTGTCATAACGTTTCACACAACCCAATGTATTTTAGGAGCACTGTATGTTTTCTAAAACTGAGACAACTACAGTACATAACACATAGCTGAGCGAATCACTTCGTTGACTAATTCCTGCATATGGTCATTATTTTTACAGCTTAAAGTAGAATTTCTTGTTGCTGCTGTTTGCATAGTCATCCATGAGGAAGCCTTTAACCTGAAATGCAACATGCACCTCTAAGGCTCGCCCTCTTTTCTGGGCTTCTTGAAATTGAGCACTCTCAGGCCCTTTGTTGACAAATTTATATTGCTCTTTTCTAACCTCTCCCTCTAGTGGCAGGAAGGAATTAAATTGATTTGTTCTAGGAGGATCATAAATAAATTACCGTACCTAGGTATTTGGCACTAAATATTCATGAGGTTCAAGGGACGCGGGTGGCGCTGTGGGTAAAAGCCTCAGCGCCTAGGGCTTGCCGATCGAAAGGTCGGCGGTTCGAATCCCTGCGGCGGGGTGCGCTCCCGTTGTTCGGTCCCAGCGCCTGCCAACCTAGCAGTTCGAAAGCACTCCCGGGTGCAAGTAGATAAATAGGGACCGCTTACTAGCGGGAAGGTAAACGGCGTTTCCGTGTGCGGCTCTGGCTCGCCAGAGCAGTGATGTCACGCTGGCCACTTGACCCGGAAGTGTCTGCGGACAGCGCTGGCCCTCGGCCTCTTGAGTGAGATGGGCGCACAACCCTAGAGTCTGGCAAGACTGGCCCGTACGGGCAGGGGTACCTTTACCATTACATTCATGAGGTTCAATTTTTTATATGAAAAGTTGGCTTAAGATTGCTTTCTGTGTTTGGGGGGAATTGTTTGTTGTCCTGATATGTTGCTGCTTTAGAACCACTCTGAAAACTTTTTTTCCCTTTACTACATGATCCCACTCAATCAGGGATCATGCAGAGAACAGGATGTCATGACATCACATGACAACATCCCCAAGAGTAAATAAAGCTCTTCCATAACTATGACTCTTAATAAGGGAACAGTCCCTTCTGTCCAGGCAATTGTTTGATGCTCCTTGCAGGCACTGTAGTGACAGTTTCATTGCCTACCAGCAGCATACAATGGAGCTCTCATTGCTTGTGGCTGCACTAGACTAGTTGGGGCATAATGCAACTGTACATCCCTTTAATAGGAATGCAGTGCAGACAGACAGATTCCCAAATCATAGGAGCATACTAAACAACTTTATAGCCAGACTACTTTTCTATACTTTTCTAGTATTGTCATGCTCTGACTGGCAATAGCTCTCCATGGTCCTGGGTAGAGATATTTCTCATCATCTACAGATCCCTCTAATTGTAGGTGGCAGGATTTGAACATGGAAGCTTCTATGTGGAGGAAATATGTCCTAATGCTGACCAATGAGTTTCACTGCATTGTTTCATTGCATTATTTTTAACGGGATGTGACTTCAGATGTGCCATTCATAATCAACAATGCCCATTGGATCAGGGCAGAGAACACTGGCCGAGTTACGTCCACAAGAGGAGCATATTCCTTCTTCCAAACACTCACTTTTCTGTAATTTGTGTTGCAGTCTTTTAAATGAAATGATAAAATAGGAAAAATCAACAAAAGAAGAAAACAATTGAGTGTGGTCAGGTATGTGCCATTGTATAAGGAACTGGAATACTCTGTTAGCGCTGCTCATTATATATTTAATAAAATAATAACTGTAAGAATAGTAAAAAAAGAAAGGGGGGAATCACCCAAGGGTGGGTGTACAGTGTGTGTTGTTTTTGGTGGGGTGGCTTCATCTTATCTTTCTATCTATCTATTAATTGCCCCCTTAAGGTCAGCACTAGAATTTTACTCTACTAGGTGATTGGCTAATAGTAATGGAGTAAAAATAGTTCAACTGGATAGATAGATAGATAGATAGATAGATAGATAGATAGATATTATAAATAATAATACTAAATTAACCTTCCTAATAATCATAAATTAATTAACCTAATGCATCGCCTGTATTAATTTAATAGAAGGAACTAACAGAGTTGCCTGTATCCACAGCTGGCAACACCCTCCTCAACCATTAGGTAAAGGTAAAGGTACCCCTGCCCGTACGGGCCAGTCTTGACAGACTCTAGGGTTGTGCGCTCATCTCACTCTAGAGGCCAGGAGCTGGCGCTGTCCGCAGACACTTCCGGGTCACGTGGCCAGCGTGACAAAGCTGCTCTGGCGAACCGGCACCAGAGCAGCACGTGGAACGCCGTTTACCTTCCCGCTATAAAACGGTACCTATTTATCTACTTGCACTTAAGGGTGCTTTCGAACTGCTAGGTGGGCAGGAGCTGGGACCGAACGACGGGAGCTAACCCCGCCGCGGGGATTCGAACCGCCGACCATGCGATCGGCAAGTCCTAGGCGCTGAGGTTTTACCCACAGCGCCACCCGCGTCCCTCTCCTCAACCATTACTGAAGAATAAAAACTATGCACAACTAACAATTATTAACATTGTTTCCCCAGTTTAATGTCTACTTCCAGATTATTTACATTGTTGTTTTCAAACTCTTTCTGTCTTTCAGGTAAACAGTGTAAGCACAACCAGAAGCTGCACCAGAAGTTCACATTACACTGCTTGAAGAAGGAACATATGTTCTCAAGTAAACTTAGTGCTGTACAAAAAGAAATGCCAATTTTTTTGCAATGTAACAAGCTTTATTAATAGTCCCACAATACATTACATATATATAGTACATCTTGTAGAGTAAATTGAAAAAGAAATGCCTATTTAAAACTTTGCATTTATTTTCCGCAGCTGTTCTCAGTAACTACATCCCCTGGAAATTACGGACATAGCTAGTCAAAGATGGAAGCATTTATCCCATTCCAGAGTTCATTTTGTCCATGCAACCAGAGTCCATGACATGTATATCTCTATGGAGCAGACACCTAACACACATAAATAATTTCAGATATCCTACTGATACTGCTTGTCAGGCTCCCATCCCAAGTCACTATGTCAGCAACTCTTACTGGTAAGCAAGGAAGAGTTCTTTATTCAGGCTAAGAGCAGTACAGGCTCAGTAGGAAACACAAGGCCCGAAGTCAAGATTCCAAGATTCAAGGACAAAGAAAGAGGTTCATAATGGGAGCTTTGAAGCTGTCTTGACAGATGACATGTTTCTCCTCCCAAGCTTTTAAAGATGTGGTAGAGTGAGCTCCCTCATGGGACACGCTCACCCTATAAATATGCTGTACATGCGCTCAATCAGGGCAGATGCACCTGGTCCCACCTGTGAAGACAGCACTTGTATCTTGCCCTCTGCCTCCAGCTCCTGTGCCACTTCCTCCTGTTCAGTCCCTAGTCAAAGTCCTCCCCATTCCCGGATAAGGCAGAGGAGCCAGCCAATGTGCTTCTCTCTCTCTGACATCTAGAGTCACAAAGAGAGGACATCTCTTTTTTGAACCTGGATTCCAGCCCCCCATCTGTACATTTCCTTCATTTTCCTCCTGGTCTGTGTGAGGCTGATGGGGCTGAACGGCACATGACACTTATGGACGTTTACTGTATGGACATTTAGGTCACTCTTTCTAAAGCATTTGTTACTGCTTCCATCTGCCCAATAAAAGGCACACAAAGCTTCTGCCGAGGCAATATTGCCTTACTTTGCAAAACTTTGATATGTACAAGATGCACAATTTTGAGGTGTACAAGTCACAGCTCAATATTCCTTTTAAAATCTCTAGCGAACTAATAGATAAATGTGAAGACACAATTTTAAAAGTCAACTGTTGTTCATCAGCTGTGACACATTTGTCAAACCTGTAATTTCCCCAATACTTACTATTTTAGTTGTTGGCAATATCTGATGGAGCTAACATGTGCATTATATTTTAGCACATTTTAGTTTGAGGATTTCACTTCTCTTCACAGTACACATCGCATGCATCTGACTCACTTTGACTAGAATAAGTACTTCCTTTAGAGAAAATGGAGCAGATCATTGGCTTGATTGCTCATGGAAGTGAAGTTTTTTCCAATAAAAATATTGTGCAATTGAGTTAAGGACATTCCCTTTTCTGTACAGTAAAGGAAAATGATTGCCATAATAGTATTACTCACCTGACAAATCAGATTTGGTCCTGAATAACTGATTGAGAATCATTATCTTTCAAACAAAAGGAAACAAATGACATTTTCCTGAATATTACACTGTAGCCAGAAATAAATTGTATATGAGTCAGGATTGGAATTTAGAGAAATCAATTGGCAAACCAAACTGTTACGAACTAAGAGCCAATTCATATATCCAGCATGCATACTTGCAGTTCTCCACACTCCCCTAGAAAAGCCCACCCAGTGCCCCCACTGCTGTCTTTTGGATATCAGATTAAGACATTTCTGTTTTTCCTTGGTTTGTAGACAGTGTTAGCCATACTCAAAGTAGATCCATTAAAATTATTGGGCATGACTAACTGAGGTTCATTAATTTCAATTGGATATATTCTAAGAATTTAGCTGGATAAATCTCCCAGTTTTAAACCCTCGCAGTACAGTTGGTGGTTTTAATGTATAGAATTTATTAGTGTTTTAGTTCTGCACACAAAATAATGTTCTGTTGTGTTGGTTCTGTATTGCTATATTAGTTGTCTCTTAAGTTTATTGTAACTCGATAGGACTTACTTCTGAGTAAATATGGATCAGGCTGCAATCTGATGGGTATTCTGGAATTTGCTATCTGTTCACTCTAATGAAGTGGGTTGCTCCCCTTGTAAGGAGATATGTCTATAGAGCTTTCCTCTCCTGGGAAGTATATATCATAGGTGCTCAATGAGAACATTACCACTCCATCTTCCACAACAATAGCCACCTTAAAATATCTAAAGGACTGTCACATGTAAGATGGAGCAAGCTTGTTTTCTCCTGCTCTGGATGGTAGGACCCAAACCAATGGCTTCAAGTTACAAGAAGGGAGATTCTGACTAAGAGTCAGGAAGAACTTTCTGACAGTAAGAGCTGTTTGACAGTGGAATGGACTCCCTTGGAAGGTGGTGGACTCTCCTTCCTTGGAAGTTTTTAAGCAGAGGTTGGATGACAATCTATCATGGTTACTTTAGTTGAGATTCTTGCGTTGCAGGGGGTTGGACTTGATGACACTTGGGGTCCCTTCCAATTCTACTATGAGTCTATGATTCTCGATTACATACATATCCTGCCATTCTTCCAAAGAGTTCAAGACAGCATACATGTTTCCCTTTCCTTCCTCCTCACTTCCCATTTTAACCTAACAACAAACTCTGAGTGAGAGGGGCTGGTCCCAGGTCACCCAGCGAGTTTTGCGGCTTAGTGGCGAATGTGATTTGACTCAGTTTCCCCAGTTTCAGTTTGACACTCTAATCACTGCACCACACTCGTTCTTAATCACTTGGACTGAAGTGGCAGTCAAGACATTCAGGTCTTGTTATTAAAGAACTTGGAACAGCAGTAAAGAAAATGCCCTAAATATATTTTCACTTTGGGGTAAAGGGAGAGGAAGACCAGATATAAACTATAAACTGTAAAAGGCACAACAAATCTCTTCTAGAGAATTCCAATATTACAATTTAAAATATTAATGTTTGAGCCTCTTGCAGGCTTTCTAAAATAACTCTATAGGGAAGCTAGTTTCTGTTATTATTTCTTTCCCAAAGACATGCATTCCAACATTTATGGAAGTTAATTTTCTAGATTGAATGGCCGCACAATCAAAAATGAGTTCCAAAGTTTTGACATCTTGTAGCTAGGTCTTAATTTGAGACAGAGCTCAATGACACATCCTGTAGGCCTGGCTCCAAATGACAGTGCCCAACCTTAGAAGCAAGTGATAATCAGGAGGATTACTATAATCTGGGTGCATTTTCCTCATCACCGAGCATTCAGAGTTACCCCCATAGATAAAGAAGCAGACTGGAGAGCCTCTTCTCCAAAGCAGAAGTCCCACAGGGATGTCCTTTAACAAGATAAAAGGTGACACAGAATCAAGCCTTGAACCCTAGTTTAGTCTTTATAACTAATTACAGATACACACACCAGATGCAACATGAATCGGAACAATTTATTCGGATTGCTATGTACAATTCCTTAAGTTTTCACATTGATCTTAACTGAAGAGTAGCTATAATATTTGACTGTGTACAGTAGACATAATACATTTAAACCACACCCACAAGAATCCTGGGACCTGTAGTTTGTTAAAGGTGCTGGGATTTGTACCTCTGTGGGTGTAGAATACTATACATCTCTCAGGACTCTTGTGGGGTGTCCTGAAATTAACTCACATTTCTTCCTTTTTATTTTTTATTTTTTCCAATATATTGGCTATCAAAAGAATCTCTCTCAGCTTTAGTGTATGTTCATCAAAAACCCAAAGTCGTTCCATGAGATTTGTCAGCAATGAGCCTTATTGCAACAAGAAATAGCAATTAGAGCTGCATCCTTCCAATAACAATAATAACTCTAGCCTCACAAAGGACCCTTGATGATCCCTCATTTTGAAACAAAAGTAACAGCTTTTGCGAAGCAAAAGTAATAACTTAGTGATTTATGTGCATTGAAAGAAAGGGGGAAATGGTGCAAATTCATCTTTCAGGAAGTTAACATATTATCTTTGTGTGTTGTCTACGGCTACAAGCACTATCATATTTTAGAGATAACTCACCAGGGATTTGTGGTTAAGCCTTGTAAAAATGCTGTTCACACTTAGTTGATCATATTCCTGTGAACGTTCCACACTTGGAATGCTCGCATTAGGACTGAAATAAAGTCATTGGACCAGTCACACATTGTCAAGTAATTGTTAAGTGTTTGAAGTGTTAACTTATTAGAACTGGGTGCACTACAGAGATTTCCATTGTTACAAAAATAAAAATCAAAGCTGGTTAACTGTTGTGGTGAAGCAATGACATTAAAAATTCTAAATACGGTAATTGTAATGAATTATTTAACGCCACAGGGTCTCCATTAGAACAGAAGCTTAATTGGGGAATACAGTGGTACCTCAGGTTAAGTACTTAATTAGTTCCAGAGGTCCGTTCTTAACCTGAAGCTGTTCTTAACCTGAAGCACCACTTTAGCTAATGGGGCCTCCTGCTGCTGTTGCGCTGCCGGAGCACGATTTCTGTTCTCATCCTGAAGCAAAGTTCTTAACCCGAGGTAATATTTCTGGGTTAGCAGAGTCTGTAACCTGAAGCGTATGTAACCCGAGGTACCACTGTACAATAAAAAGATACACTACTATCTAAAAAGAGGCATTATTGGCTTCATCCAGCAATATCTGAATGCAGTCTAACAATATGCTAAGAACTGAACTTTTATTACCCAATGGGTAAAATAGAATGGCATTCTGCAATAGAACTACATAGAAACAACAGCATGAAATCTAGTTTCTCCCACCTCAGTGATGTCTCTAGACCAACTTAATGTCATTCCTGATGCCATTACAAGGTGCAAGGAGCTGTTTAGGAAGCAAGTAGGGATTACCTTGCATTTGATCGAGAATCTGCAGTTAGTGCAGAATGATGCAGCTCAATTGCCAAGAGGAAGGAGACCCTGTTAGCATTTTAGACCTCTGTTCAGAGATCTCCACTGGTTGCCTCTTTGCTACCAGGCCAAATTCAAGATGTCACTATTAGTATATAAAGCCTTTAACAGCTTGGAACCAATTTACTTGCTGAATTGCCTTACCCCATATATGAACACACAACCACTTCATTCTGCAGAATTCACACTGTTACAGGCACTGCATAATACTTGTTCTGCACTTGTAAGAAATTACCTGGCATAGAAATTTTGTAAAATAAATAAAAATAAAAAACAACAACACTGGCAACTATGACTACACACAAAGACAGCACAGAGTCTGGAAAAATAACCTAAGTCAACTGCCAGCTGCCACTAGGCTACTGCTACCAAATGTTATAGTGCCCACTCACAATCACAAACTCTTTATTTACTTGAGCTATTTATGTAGTGCTCTTTATAATATTTATCACCAGGTGGGTTACAATGCTAATTAAAACATTTTCATATATTACACAGTAAGATATGCAATGGAATATTTAAACTTCACAACCAAGCTGATGGTCTTGCAAATGTCAGCATCTGCACTGTCATGTTATATTTTGGTGCTTTAAATAGGTCACAGATTATTCCAGATGATGAAAAGCTTTGGAACAATTCTGTGCTGTTGTAATCTGTGCTGTTATAATCCAGCAAAAACATAAAATGTCTCTTTAAAGCAGATATAGACAACAATGACAATTGCAACTCAGAGCCTTTCCACAGAACCACTGAGTGCATGCCCCTTCATTAATGACTTCTTCATTGACAATGGTATGAGCTAACCAGAAGCAACGGAAGGACATCCTGGCCTCTGTCCCTACTGAAAGCACAAAGGAGGTTATCATTATGCAATCCTTCTCTCCCCAGAAAAGCTCCATAGCAAGGTGAATATTACCATGTCCCCAGATATTGATGAGAGAATGAGCAGATGCAGCAACACTGAGATTGAATTATTTGTCCTACAAGGAAGAATACCATCCCAAAAGTCCGCTGCACGGAGAATGAAAAAGTGAAGGCAAGGTCACTCTGGCTGGCAAAAGGACGAAGAGCCAGTTAGATGCAGCAACCAGCTCCATCCCAGGAAGAAATCCAGTAGTGGAAGATCAGTGCAAACACCTGTTAAAATCTCTCATGCAGACAATTAACAAACAGATCTTAGTGCTTTCCTTCAACTCGCTTTCCTTTGCACATGTTGCCTTGTACATTACTTTTTTTAAAGTCTGAGGGCAGGGTCTGCAGCTTATTTCCATTCTATGTTCAGCACCTGCCAGCAGCATTGCTGCTTTCAGAGTCAACTAAGAGACATCGTTGCTCTAGAATGCAAGATAAAAATGTAATCTTATAACAGGGAGAGATTCTGTTCTTCACACACACACACAACACTACTTTTGTGAATACCTAAAAGGTGTCCCTTTCACCAAATACATTCCATACAACAATCGTAGAAGAGAGCAATGAATAAGCTTTTACATTTCATAAGTCTATCCTGCGAGAATGAAGAAATATCTGTAACAAATGTGTTGTCTTCATGGAAGACTTGCGGACTCTGAGCTACAAAAAGTGGAAGCCAACAAACATATAACCTGGTCCCATGAAAACGTTCTCCTCAAGAGTATTTTGGTAGTGCAATCCCTTCAAGTGTATAATACCAACAGGGAAACTTTGGTGCTTGTTTGAGCAGCAAGACCTTAACCTCCAGATTATTGATTTACAGTATTACGTTTCTACCCCTCTTTTCTGCCAAGGAGCCCAGAGCATGCAATGCCCATTGATCCTTACAACCACCCTTGTGAGGTAGGCGAGACTGAGAGACGATGACTGGCCCAGGATCACCCAGCAGACTTCAAGCCTGGGAGGGGGTGGATTTAAACCAAGATTTCCCTGGTCACAGTCCAACTACGACACCTCAGTGACACCTATAGAATATGGCAAGACTTTCCTTTTGAAAAGTACTCTGAGCATGTATGGAGCGCGCTCCAAAGCAACCACAAGCAGTAGGGCTCGGGGTCAGATCCTCCACCCCCCATGCTCCTGGTGCTTTCCTTTCGGAAAGAAAAGAAGCAGCTATATTATAGCTATAGGCGCGGGAAGCAGCAGCAGCAGCAGCAGGCGGCGACGGTACTTTAGTAGACCTCGCCGCCCCTCCCAGCCTGCTCCACTACTACAGCCACCATCCCGGGAAGGAGCGGCGCTGAAGGAGAACGAGGGCGCAGGCGAAGCCGACGAGCCCTTCTTCTCCCGCTTCCAGCGCCCCGCTTTGCCCGAGGAGACCGAGCGCTTTCCGCTGCCGTTTGTCTCCCGTCTCTTCCCGTTTGGCGCCGCGACAGCCCGCATCTCTCATAATCCCCCCGGCGGAGACTCGACAAAGCACCGCCGAGCCAACCAGGCCTCTCTGACGCCCTCCTTGCTCTCCCTCAGAGGGCGCCTCCGCAGCGGCCCGGCGCCAAGAGGGGCAGAGGCAGGTAAATGGGGGCGGCCGGGAGCGCGCGCGGGAGTTTCTGTCAGGCACTGTCGGGCTGAGGAGGAGGAGGAGGCCTAGTCGCTGTGGTCGAGGAGACAAGCAGACAGGCGCCTCCTCCTCCTTCTCCTCTTCCAGGCTCCGCGTGAGGGCAGAGGGAGAAGGGGGTGTCACACGAAGGCTGCCTCTTCCTTGTGGGTGTAGAACAAAGGGGCGCCTCGTCTGAAGGGGGCACAGCAGCCAGGAGGGTCCCGCGAGGGAAGCCGCGTGGAAAGGAATGGCAGCGGCATCGCCCTTCCCCACACGACCCCCTGTCAAACAGTAGGGGCGGCAGCAGCAGGAGTAAAAATACAGAGAGAGAGATGAGAGCTTTCCCCCACCTGTTTCGTACAAAAGGTGGAGGGAGGAACCATGCTCCCTTTTCTAAATGTATTCCCTCTGAAGCGCCTTTTTGATTTCGAGGGAGTTAACTTGAAAGCACATTTAGAATCGCAGCCTTGTTTTCTGGATTACGTTTCAGTCATTTGTAAGCGAAAAGCGCCTTTTCTTGAAGGTCTGGCAGTTGGGCAGGAAAACATGCTGCTTCTTTGGGGGGCACTACTTAAACTGTTAAATACTACAGGGATTTATGATGCTTATTGTTCTTAATTTCCATTTATAGACTGCTTACAACCTGAAGATTGCAAGGCAGTACAATAAATAAGAAAATACATAAAGAATATGCATTTACATAAATACCATAGCAATATAAATCAAGTCAAGAGAGCATTACCAGGCAGTATAATGTAAGATTTCAATTATCATAACAACATTATTCATACAACCACTCACCTAATCTCACTCATCATCTATTCTATAGAACCAGTACAATCATTCACTACCTAAAGTATTATCTCTGTCATCGAAACATTCATAAATAAACCACTAATGCTCAATAATATTACAACCCACACACAGGAGATCCCTGCAAAGTACACACATGTAAGATACTCTCCCCATTTCTGAAGCACTGTTGGTGGAGAATTCCTACAGCTCAATTCTAAAAAGTCCACTAAGGCTATATCCTATACCCACTTTCATGGGGGAAGGAAACACTGAACACAGTGGGACTTCCCTTTGAGCAGACGTCTATAGTATTGTGCTCTGTGTGTGTGCTGCATAGTTTTATGTTAGATTTATGTACCACCTTTCAGTAGGCATGTTCATGCCACTAGCAAAATTACATCTGAGCAATAAGATTTTTCATGATGGAAACAATGTCTGCTGCTTAAGTACACAGTTAGGTGTACTTCAAGATATTCAAGTTTTCTGTAAGCATTAGCATTTTTCATTGTATCCAAACATAGAAGAGCTAAGCATACTCTCCTCAAGCAGGACTGAAAGACATGAGTAAACTTGACTAATAAAAGAATTTCATGAACTTTTTTTAAAGGAGCAATGCACCACAAACTCTGGAGCAAATGAGAGGACACATTAAATACATGTATGCATTTAGCATGATTTGTTTTACTTTACAAATAACAATTGTTGGAGAAGCGTGGAGATCACGATCGGGACCACAACACTCAGGAGGGATAGTCCTTTCCCACTGTGCAATTGATTCTGATGAATATCTCTCACACACACTGTTCCCAAGCTGCTATTGATGCCAAATAAAAAGCAAATATATCAAATGCACATTCACATTTACCATACCATCTCATTTTGTCCTTGAAAGCTAAGCATCTTTTAGTGGCAGTTGAATTACATAATTTGTTTCTAGATTAAATCCTTGTGGATTATGGACCTCACCGGTTGGAGGAGGAGGATAGTTGGTATGGGAGTTTACAGAGTCTACCAGAGGTTAACTAGAGGCCTGACTCTTACTGACTGTGCCAGGTGTTTAGCCTTGAAACACTGAAAAATAATGATATTTCATTATGTAATGTTTTGTTTTTGTCAATCATAGTTGACAAATTTGACAATGGGGACTAGAAATCTAACTAGTCATGGTTTAATATAGTTTAATACTTCAGAAAAAACCTTGACTCAAAGCAACAGTCAAAGGGAGAACATGTTGCTGCAGAGCAAAGCCACAATTGTTCTAAAGCAACATATTTCACCTGTCAGGAATACATTCCTGTAAGCAGTCCTATGGGACTGCTTGTGTGAATGAAGAACTGAAGTTTCCTTTTAGCTTTGCAATCAGATTTTACACTGAGTTACCTCTTCAGGTATTGAAAACTTAAACACGGTGATGATGCGGGGGATGTGGTTATGGGGCATGATGGAAATTCAGCTGCACCCTGCATCTGTTCAAGGAATCTGCATAGGTAGCAGAACTATTTGTTCAAATTATTTGGACCTGTGCAAAAAACAAAACAAAAACAACCAAGAATATGACTGTCATTAATATGGCTGTTCTGTTAATGGGAATAAAACAGAGAATAAATTTGACTTCCCTCAGATCCATTGAAATTTAGAGATAGAGCAGGGAAGGAAAGTGGGGGAAAGAAGGCTAAACCGATTTCACAGGAACAAAGCCACTCCCACTGATTTTGGTAGCAATACTGTGCAGAAGGTGCATATGAGGAAATGAGTGGGAGCAAAACGCAGTAACTAATAAAAGTTAGCTAAAGTACTCTGATAAATCACAGGATAAAAGATCATAAGTAGTGGCATCAATACAATGCAGCTGAGTAGTATGTGCATCGTGAAGAGTCAAGAAGAGTTTAATATGGATAAAACATCAGCTAATGTGGATTGACCCATAACTTTGTACATCAGAATAAAATGTAAGCTTCTCTTTCTCTGAAAGAACTGGTGAAAAAACACAGAATACAGAAACATAATAAAGTATGCTATTTTTATTTGATTCTAACAGATATACAGTTCAAAGAACCAGAGTTAAGATGAATAACCAAGTTCAGGGTGACATGCTTCGTTGCTGGAAGTGTCGAAAATACGTAGCTAATTCTGATTGCCTCATAAATGACCAAACTGCAAATTTGGTCTTTGAAGTAAGTAAAAAATATATTGTTTCTTCTAGGCCATTACTAGAGTATGTATTTATAATTTAGGAGTGCTGGAATTAACATGTTCAAAATTGCACAGTTTATATACTACTGAATTAAGAAGAACTGGGTTATGGATATTCACCCATTGGACAGTTTAAACCATTTGCTTATCAAATGGAGCTTTATTGATATTTTTATTATTCTGAAGTACTCTTTCATATTTGTATTGTATTGTATTGTAGATGTCAAATATGCCCAATGCAGAAAACAGGGAAGTAAATCACAATACAGTACCGGTTTTGTGCTGTTGTACTGGATCTGTGTCTCTCCATAGCCATGAGTTACTTTGTAGAGAGTGTGTTCAACTTTACAAATTTTCTACAACTCTGCAGCTCAGACTAGTGCAGTAAGTATTTATTTTGATTTGTAGTTATGATTCAGTGCTATTAACTTGCTAACCCTAAAATTTTAGGAAAGCAAAAAAATTAAAGATATCCGCAATGCTAAATTGCCTAATCTCTATGATTTATAAGGATAGTTTAGAGAGATTCGCCTTTGCAGCAGGGAGCACAACAAGGGCTCGCAAGATTAAACTTCTGAAAAGTATAAATAAGCTTAAACTTGCAATAACTGTTTCGACTGCACAGGAAGATGAACAAAGGATCAGTAGGCACCAGCATTCTTACATTATTTTACAGTCAGAATAAGAATCTGTTTGGCAGAGACCTTTTAGGTGATGGGGTGCTTTTCACTTTGATAAAATAATTTCAGCAACTATTATTGTTATTGCTATTGGTAACCCAAAGAAATATAAGCTCACTTAAATCCTATTGAAATCAGTGTAAATTAATAACACAGGTTTCTTTTGAATGCACCTATTCTCTTTAATGGGACGCGGGTGGCACTGTGGGTTAAACCACCGTGCCTAGGACTTGCCGATCAGAAGGTCAGCGGTTCGAATCCCTGCGACGGTGTGAGCTCCCGTTGCTCGGTCCCTGCTCCTGCCAACCTAGCAGTTCGAAAGCACGTCAAAGTGCAAGTAGATAAATAGGTACTCTGGCGGGAAGGCAAACGGCATTTCTGTGCACTGCTCTGGTTCGCCAGAAGCAGCTTAGTCATGCTGGCCACATGACCCAGAAGCTGTACGCCGGCTCCCTCGGCCAATAAAGCGAGATGAGCGCCGCAACCCCAGAGTCTGTCACGACTGGACCTAATGGTCAGGGGTCCCTTTACCTTTACCTATTCTCTTTAACAGTGTTGTTTTCTGTTCAGTTGCTTTCACAATTAAGTGCTATGGAAATCCGTCAGATTAAGTTTACAAATAATCGTGGCATTGGTCCATTGCTCAAGCCCGCTTCCTCTACAGCCTATCATTTCTCAACCCATTAAAGAATCTCAGATAGGGGAACTAGGAAAGAGGCCTTGGAGAGCTGATACTAGATTGAATGGGCAGGCCTGGGCTCGATGGACCGATGGTCTGAGATCAGGCATCTCCAAACTCAGCCCTCTAGATGTTTTGGGACTACCATTCCCATCAACCCTAACTAACAGGACCAGTGGTCAGGGATGGGAATTGTAGTCCCAAAACATCTGGAGGGCTGAGTTTGGGGATGCCTTGTCTGAGACAGTTTCAGGCAGCTTCGTAAATTGTTAATATATCATCATAATTCACTAGCTAAGAAAATCATTTTCATTAAAAAATGGGAAGTTTAAATCTTGGCTTAAAAAAAAATAAAATACAAAATGCATTTGTGCAGTTGCTGTCATTTTGCAGCATCAGTTAATTATCAAGCACTGGTTTCCACTAGCTCCCCTGCTGATGTCTTTTATAATGCTGGTTCAGAGAGAAGAGCAAAGTAAAAGTGCACCATGCTGATTCTTCATCCGCAATGTAATGCTGTGTTTGCCAGGAAAGAAAATAACATCATTTTTTTCAGTTTTGTATGTCTAACTTAAACAGACTATTGGGAGCAGCTTTATTCTTAATCTGGATTATGAAACTGGGTGATACATGCAGAAAAAGAAATTCACATTCTTTTCCTTTCCTTATATAGCAACCCTTTAAAAATTTCCACCTCTTAATGATTTGAAATAATCTGTAAGGAGAATCTGGACGGTGTTTTTATATCTGCTTCTAGCTTAACTGTAGTGTCTCCCACACATTCTTCAGATGTTATAGCATGACTCAGCATAACAGGGCTAGGCAAGCATCCCAATGCACTATGTGCAATCACATGTTTAATAAGGACAAACAGATGTCAAAAGTTTTGCATCCGTCCTACCTTGCAACCCAGTGCAAGAACAGGCAATACGTGGCTTTTGAATTATCTGTACTTTTCACAGCTTTTTATGTGAGTAGCAGGATCTTTTTAGGATTCCAGTTTTGACAGTGTCAAAAGCCATTTCTCTTGTTTGACCAGTTTCAGCTAAGAAATAAGCCTTCAGATTCATCAAGCTTCTCCAGTCAAAAGGAGAGGTCTGCTTCCTACACTTGTTATAACCAAGGCTTTGTGCATTGCATGATTTTTTCCACAATATGTTATCAGGCATAGAATTCAGTACCTCAAGTTTCTCAGGCTTAGTCTTTTTTAAAAGCAAGTGATTGGCCCTCTTGATAGTGAAGATATGCTTGAAAGTGTGAAGGAGCATCTGGTGAAATCTCAGAAGCTTTCTGAAAGCAGCTGATGGGTGGGGGAGGTGGTTTTATTGGCCTGCATAGTTTAAAAGGGCTTTGCTACACACACACACACAAACACAAATAGAACGGGCATTATTTTGTAGTACATATGTTTTTTAATATAGGGTGTACATAACACTTAGGTCCTTCCGTCTCCTTCCGGTCATCTGACTGGCCACAAAAGCACCAGGCTATGATGCAGCTGTCCCTCTAAAAGCAGCAAATGATAACAATGTGTCTTAAAGCTGTTTATTCATAAAGGTGGGATTATTTTTACACAATATTATAATTAACTATCAATGCTTTTAATGTCTTCAGAACTTTTATGTTACATTAGAATGATTTCTCTTAGCAATTATCAAACATCTCCTGCTGGATGGGTAATAGATATCTGATATCTCACAAGTTGATTCTCTGTGACTTTTTTCAAATTAAAAAGAAACGTGGAAGTGTACCTTGATATGGCTGTGGAGGAGAAGAGGCTCAATAAGACATATGTCCAAAAAATACATACACCTACACATATGCACACATCCCTCCAAAGAAAGTACAGTACCCTATAATTTATCTGCATATTCTGTCACTTGCTGGGAAGGCTATGCCTGCAGTAGTAAGCTTAGAGGAAACTGCTTCCCCCACACACATGAAGTGCCCTTGCTGCATGGTCTACTTGCTGTCCTAACTAAAGCATGCATGCACTGCAGAGGGCAGAGTTAGAAAGTGAGACTGCCATCAGGACTATCTGATATGCACACGTTGATCTGCTTTGCAGAGAGAGGGGTAGGTGGACTTTTAAAAGAATGTTTATTTGTCCATTACACCTTGCTTGTCTGACAAGGAGTCTATATACATTAAGAGGGTGTGAAGAGGAAAAGACGCTGAGCTCCAGTGAACAGATCACAGTGCTTTCAAGTTGGGTTTCAAAGAAAATGTGCACATCTCTAAATATGTATCCAACTATGCATCCTATAAATCAATATATATTCCACTTGCTAGAGGGATAAAGAGAGGGGAGAGTCTTTTCTCACTTTTGCAGAAGTCTGGATAAGATAAGAAACAGCAGGGCAGAGTCACTGTGAGTCAGGTGGAACAATATCTGCATTTATGTCAAGTCTTCTGTGCTTTCCAAAGGGTTTGCAAGATGTGGCTTCCTCTCACTGTCCCTGCAGTTTGGACAAGAGAAGAAACAGCAGGAGAGAGTCCACTGATTTCTTTCCTTCTCCACACTGCAGGACAAATCAGATAACTCTCCCAGAAACAGTCTAGAAATGATAGACGATTTGGTGTTCAGTGGGAAAGAAGGAAAGTTGATAGCAAATGCTATCAGAGGCTGGTTAACAAGCCAGATTGAGGTTTGTGGACATGTATGAAACTCACAGTATTATTTTTTTTAATAATATTTTATTAATTTTTCAGAAAAAAGAAAATAACCAAGCATATATCAAACATAAAAGACATAGCTATCAATTATATATAGAAAGAAAAGAAAAAAAGAAAAACACAGTTTTTCATACATATATTCCATAACCAGCTGGACTTCCTCACGTTTCCCTTTCCTGCGTTCTCAATATAAAAGTTATGTTCAGCAATTTATTATCTTATTTCAGATCTTATATTCTAATTCTAATATGTTATGCCTCTGGTTTTAACTAATTCCATCAAGTGTTTATCTGCTTAATTTAGGCATAACTCTACTTCAAATCTCATCAAAACTTATCTTTGTATTTCAGCTTATTCTCATACATATCTCATCTAAGCTGCTGTTGCCATAATCTTTCCTTTCATGCACCTTCTTAACATTCATACAATTTATATATATTTTTGTAAATAGTCTTTAAACTTCTTCCAGTCCTCTTCCACCTCCTCTTTTCCCAGGTCTCGAATTCTGCCAGTCATCTCGGCCGAAACTCACAGTAGACTCAGTTTGGACATCTGACTGTCAGTAAAGTTTTGGTCACATTACCAGTCAAATATTTTCAACTACGAGCTTCATTAGAACAAGAAAAAAGATACCGTACTTTAATTGCCTGCATGTTTCATGCTTTTGAGAATAACAAAAACAAATTTGTTACATTGTAATGTTTCTCAGTAACAGTTATATATAATGACTTACTGTAACTTTTAATATATTTAGCTAAGGTTTCTATAAATGTGAATAATTTACCGAACATCTAGAACACCAGGGTCAAGCACCTGACAAGCCATGTTGAAGATTCATTTCTGACTGCATTTATGTAGCAATGGAGCCAGACATCCTTTTTTCATGCATTGCCCCTGTGAGGTGCAAAATATCTCCATATACCATACCCCATGGAGGCATATGCAGCCCAATTTCAACCTGGATCGCAGTTTCTGTTCTTTGTAGCTGCTCTAAGTAACTAACACTCTAAATTGATTTTGTGTGTCAGGGTGGTATTGTTTTGGTTTGTTACTATGGTATGTATTTTTGTGTTTTTATATTATAAACCATCCTGTGATCCTCTGATGAAGGGCAGTATAGAAATTTAAGAAATAAAATAAATAATAAAATAAACCTGTAAAGAAGAAGAGATGAAAATGCAACCACACCACCTTGAAAACTTGTTGTAAGTGCCTTACACACACACAGAGAGAGAAACAGATTCAAGGGACATACTTTACACCCAAATTGGCATGGATCCGGTTGCACCCAATCTGTCCATTATTAAGATCCTGGGGGGCTTTTGCTAACCAGAGCAAACATTAGTGTGCCAGATGGACAAATTGTCTAACCTAGTATAAGGCACCTATGTTCCTATTATCATTTACTCACATTCAAGTGGATTAAGTTAGGGCTGAGCCTTGTTTGGTAAACGTCATAACTAAACAGGGATTCCCATTACATCAACACACAATATTAGCTCCCTTCCTCCCCTTCGCCAGACTTTTCAAGCAACTTATTTATACCACTGGTAAGAAAGAAACTGGAGATTAAGCAAATAATACAGAGTGTGGAAGCTTTTTTCTTCTGCTTAATATTTTAGGACTTACATTTGAGACAGGGCTTAGCTACATTCTAAAATTTCATTTTCATATGCTGCAGTGAATTCAGTCTTGGGAGTGCAACTGTTGGCACTAAATTGTGATTATTTAGAGTGCACTTGATAAAGCTTTTAGTAGCATTTAAATGTCATACTGCAGTATAGCCATAAGATAAATTAAAATATTTTTCATTACTTTTCTTGTTTTTTCCTACTTTCTTTTTGTTACTGCCATAGTAAAATAAAGCCAAGGCTCCAATAATCATATCTTTTAAAGCCAAGTATTCTTCACAATATTGTTTTCAGTATAAAAATTTGCCCTGCTCAAAGAACAATTATTAAAATTAGGTAAGTTTTTGTTTGAAAAATAACAACAACAAATTATGGGGGGAAATGGAATTTAAAGTACCAACAATGTGAACTGATTTCCCCCCAGTGATTATACAGGTGTTATTGAACAAGTAGGTTTTCTCAGAATTAAGCATGACCCCATTCATTTAAATTGTGTTAGTTTTAAACATATTTTTTTATTATTCTTGCAACCCTTTTATAGTTTAGAAACTAGTACCATTATCTTTAAACTAGTTAAACAAGACTGATTAAACTGAAACACATTTTTATTACATTAGTAACAATGAGACTAAACTGGCTTGGGTCTATAATTTGTCAGTTCAACTGCTTTCGGAATTGGGGCATGTATCTGTAACCCTAAACCTTTTAATTTTCTCATGAAATGCTGTATTTATTTGAAACAGTTTATTTGCTATTTTCTGTTTACACATTGCACAATGCCTATTTTCAAGAAAGAAAATGGCAACATTTATTTAAACAATTACACAACTTGCTTTTATCCGCCATTGTGTCCTAAATGTATAGTGTATTCTTGGAAAACCTTATAATACTGATTGCATAACTACCATCATAACAATATTAATAAAGGTTTAACAATAATCTGTCAGGAAAGAATTTAACCACAAGATTTGAAACAATTTCCTAAACTTTTTCACTATATGCTTGAGAAAATCCTCATTTTCTAAGATGGTTAAGAGACGTCAGCTGTGTTCCATCATCTTTGCAGCTAGGCCATTACAGTAGAAACCTTCTCTAGGCAGCAGTCTTATCTTGCTGGTCTGTCTTTTTATTGCAGGATCAACAATATGTGTTTTAAAACTATCAAATACTGTCTTTTAGGGCAAGCCCTCAAAAGGTAACATAATAAAAACGTCAAAAGTGCATACTTGTATTTCATGACTTAATTGTAAAACTCTGAAATGCACCCTGTACAGGGACGCGGACTTATAAAAAATATTGGGGGGGCCCGGGAAAGCTCATGAATAATAAATAAGCTCATGAATATGCAAATAAAGTGGCGCCGCCTCCTCGTGAGCGAATAGGGGAGAGCGTGCTGCGCCTATTAATCAGCTCCAAAGGAAATTGGGTGGAGCTTTTGCTCGGGAGGGAGGGCAGGAGGCATGCAGCCCGCCCCTCCCTGTGCATTTTGGGCTGGGGGAGGGGCGGCGATGGCGCTCTGCTGGAGGGGCGCCGGAGATTATTGGGGGGGCAGAGCCCCCCCAAACGAATTTTTGAGGGGGCTCGGGCCCCCTCAAGCCCCATGGAGTCGGCGCCTATGACCCTGTATCATAGTTGGAGAAGGAGAAGCAAAGGTGCTAGGTATAGACACTTGTTCAACCTGGTTGAAAGGGAAATAGGTTGATGGGCCACTAATTAGAAGGAGAGCTGGCATAAAGGACACATTTGCCTGAAGGCAAGGAGGAAGGAATAAAGAATGCGGGAAATGGATACAAAGGAATTGGTTCATGGCACTGGAAGTGGAAATATCAATGATAGGTATTTTAAAATAGAAAGTAGGTCAGAATGTTATTAATATATTGAATCTTAATTCAACAGGAACCTCACGCTTCTACTGCCTCTCAGGATATGTGTAATGTATGGCACATGAACATAGAAGCACTTCCAGATTGGGTGACTCATATAATAGAAAACGTATGTTCATTTTACTTATCTCGCATAACTTTTTAATATTCTATGCAACATTCTATAGAAAGTAAACAATATCTAGGTCTTTATAAGGGCCTTAGAAGTACAGTTATATCATTACATATTTTATAGTTATTTAAGTAGGTAAATGCCTTTTCAAATGCTTATAATAAACAAGTCATTGTGTCAACTCTGCTCTTGCCATATTTAGTATGCATATCAACACATCCAAAGTTTCTGTAAAATTGTAATACATAATGCTATTCCCACACTTTGTTTGGTGTCGTAAGTCCTGAAACTTCAGTAACTTTTCAACAGATGTAAATGGGCTCTTCTGCTAAAAGACTGATTTTGATTTATTGGAAAGATAACACCATGGCCCCTTTGAAAGATGGATAGAAGCTATGACTACTTTTGCAACATACAAAAATAGATTGTATGGAATACATTTATTAAAAGCACAATGACTTGTTAATAATTTTATACTCGTTAGAATCAGGGTACTACTTATATACCCATATATTGCATTGTCTCACAGTTTCAAGCACTTTTTTCTTTTCTTTTGACTTTTCTCCACATTTTTCACTCTACTGAAATTTTTCAATAAACTATCTATTAACAAAAAGATTTGAACAGACTGACTTCTGCATAGGATTGTAGTTTACAAGACTGTTCAAAGGTTACCCTCCCCCTCCTCCTCAAAGTTCCATGTTAAATATATGCCTTACATAGTATAAAACTAAGGTCTCAGAGTATTTAGGAATATCAAATAACCCTTTGAAACGATTACATTGGTACATTGCCTTTTTTCAGTCATAAAACAAATGTTTACATGCTTTTCCTGCTCTGTTTGAAAAAAGATTTATGTCTTATCTTCTGGATTACAAATAATTAATTCTTGTTTCCCTCCACATTATCCTCAGGCACAGTGGACAACTGGAAAGCTGAACTGCCCATTCTGTGGGGCCCGTCTGGGGGGTTTTAATTTCGTCAATAATACAAAATGCTCCTGTGGCCAATTTACAAACATCCATCTTTGCAAGAGGCGAACTGACTACCAAACAGTTAGTTCAGTTACATCAGCAATATCGCCACTGAAGCACTTGTCTCTTTGTAAAGTTCATTCCGACTTTAACAACGAAATATGGCAGAGTGTGACAGGTGGATCTTTGGAAGACAGAAATCAAAGACTTCCATGTGTAGCCAAAAATAACAATGACATTGGACGGTTAATGGAGGCACTTTGCCTAGAGGTAAGATCAACCAACTTTGAGATGAACAGTAAAAAAATACACTTCAAAGTGTCTAATCCAAAAACAAGTATTTCAGCTTCACTGGCTGTGAATGACAAATACACTGTAAAAGCTTTTCATAGAAAATCACAGAGTTTAGACATGAACTTCAGAGAGAAGCTTGTTTTGCTGCCTACTTTATATGGAACTTCCACAACTAAGAGACCTGTTTTCTCCAGGCAACATGAAGCACAGCCTTTTTACACAAAGGGTTGCTTACAATTAAAGTCCAGCAGAACACATAATTTTTTTCATTTCCCACTTAAATCAGATGCTGGTGAGCTTCCAAACAGTTTTTCAGTTACTTCTTATGGTGCATTTGCACAAGAAGAGACAGAGTTTAATCATGGTTTAAAAGCTTCCAAACAGTATCTTGAGAGCACTACTGCTGACCAGCAGCTGTTCCTGTCTTCATCAGAGAGCACTACAGAAGAAGATACTGCGCAGAAACACATCACACCTTTTGGTCTTCTTCAGCCTTTCACAACTATTGATCAAAAGTTGAGCAAGAGAAAAAGGAACCGATTGAACAGTTTGAGGAGAAAGAAGAGGTGGCCAGAGAGGTGGCCTCAGAAGCAGGTATGTACAATAAAATAGAGATTGTAATCATACCAAATGTTATCATGTTAGAGACAGCAGCCTCTAAGTGGGAGTAATGGCTGCAGCCATGATATATATCAGTTCAGATATCTTACTAAGCTATAGTTAGCATCAGTCATTTACAAACCTACTTCAAACTGTTCTATTTGGGGGGTGCAGACAATTGCAAACCATGGTTTTTTGATTCAGACATAACATCAAACCATAGTTCATTACCTATACTTCACACAATGTCTGAATGGACCCATTGGCTAAAGGACAAAAATATGTACAAACATTTCGTGTTCTTATGAAAAACGCTAGTAGATTATACCAAAAATGTAGGAAAGAAACTATGGCTATGTACATTTTTAATTATTTTTTTCTCGCACCCAAAGACTTGTATCTGTATAAAGAACAAGTCCTTCATCATGAGCATTCACTTAAAATCCAAACAGAAAGGAAGTCTTTCAATAATCTCTTGTTTCTAATCAAAATGTGAGCTCCCTTCCTGTAATGTAGTTCTTCTACCTGACAAAGTACAAATACAAATTCTCTTCTATAAAAGGTGAAAAGACTGCTTATTCTATTCTTAAAACTTTTGCGCTCATGTTTGTAATTAGCTCCTCTGCAGTTTTCTTTGCAGCTTTCTACTTCCTACAGTCAGTGTGAGGTTTTTCACTATAGCTAAGCCATATACACAAGTAAACATGTGCATTAAAACATTACAGATTATTTGAGTCATGTGCACAACTGCATAAACATCGTTTTGAGCTTTCACATTACATGACTACATAAAATTTCCCATTATGAAATTCTCTCATGTTAATAATAATAATAATTTATTTGTACCCTGCCCATCTGACTAGGTTGTTCCAGCCACTCAGGGTGGCTTCTAACATATATAAAGACGTAATAAAACATTAAACATTAAAAAACTTCCCTATACAGGGCTGCTATCATTGTTATCATTTATCATGTTATTTTCACCCTGTATGAATCCAAGAATTATGTTTATAAATATTTCCATATATATTATAGTTAATACAATATATTAATATTGTTCTCTCAGACAATAGGGTGTATTTCCCTATATTGTATTGTCAGAATGCACCCACACACCAAAACATTACAGTTCAAGTTCATTAAAATTCTATATTTCTATTTTATGTAATTCCACACAGCACAATGTATCATTCCACCGGAACTATAGTATCGTGTTTTTGCTGCTAATCTTCCTGTATAAGGGGACTCCCCAGTAAGTATGCAATAATAGAAGTGTGGGTTTTTTAACAGCAGGGGGCACCAAATTTCCTCTAGCTACAAAACAATGGTAACTAAACTTTTATGAAGGAGCATTGCATGGTATAGGTATATTTTGTTTGTATAATGTTTTATAGATTAAAAACAGTAACACTGCTAACATCTGGTGATTATAGGTTTTAAGCATAATAGTGATACCTGTTGCCACTGCTGCAGCTCAGAGTCTGCCAACATTTTTGTAATAAGCTGGTTCTTGTGGCTGATTTTATTATATATCCATTCCAAAATTGCCTTTGTTAAAAGCTTGTGATAAATGGCTGCAATCTGTCTGCCAAAGAACTGTTCTTCTGCCTCTTAAAAACTGGTACCATTTGAGTTTAAAATATTTTTAGTAAGAGCAAGAATAATTTTTGTAACAATTCATAAATTATTACTGGAAAAGAAACACTGTGAATGATAAAAAGTGAAAAGATTTTCTTGAACTTTCTTTTTGTTTAAAAGTTGGGGAGAAAACAAATAAATAGACAACTGAACATGTGATATATATTTTTAAAATATTAAAATAAAGGAGCTCTTTACACTGAATCTTTTTTTTTAATGACATTAATTCTTTCCAAACATTTGAGTCATTGTCATAAAGTAAAATTATATGTAAGACATTAATTGTCACTTATCAAACAAGAGTTTTGTTTAGCTTGTAATATGATGGTGGCTAGTATCCTGGTGATTCATCTAAGTTAATCAAAAGAAAATATAGGTAAAATGTCTATTTACTGAAACATTCATTGGTTTTGAGATATCAATTTCATTTCTATTTTTGCCATTGCCTTAGTTCTTGAAGATGGCGCCTGAAAAGGCAGTAGTGGCCCAGTTTCAGGCAAGTTTGGGGGGAAACTGATTACCTGGATCTATTTTAGTCTTGCTTGAAGCCCAGGCCTAATTCGAGGTGCTCCCAGTAACATTTAAATCCCTAAATGACTTATGCCCCAAATATCTGAAATATTGGCTTCATCTTCATAGTTCTGCCTATGGAACTGATGGCCCAGAAGAGGACTTTCACTGTGGCAGCCCCTAAACTGTAGAACTTCCTCCCATCTAGCATTCTCGTCGTATAGCTTTCACCATATGCTGAAGACATGCCTCTTTATAGTGGTGTTGTGTTCTGGCTGGAACGGTCGTATTTATTTTAAGAATTCAGTATTATATTATTGTACAATATTGTATTGTATACCACCCTGGGACCTTCTAGTGAAAATAAACAAACAAACAAATAAGGGCACAGACATATTAGCATCTACCCTTCCCATTTGTTGAATGCTTTTTCTAATTCCAGACCATGCAAAGACTCTGTTGTGCATTTGTAATAACACAGGGGTGCCATGTCTAACACTGGCCTCTGTCCCTCTTTCCTTCTCTGATGCCCTCCCACAGCTCGTGCCTCCCAAAAGTGTGTGTGTGTGTGTGTGTGTGTGTGTGTGTGTGTGTGTGAGAGAGAGAGAGAGAGAGAGAGAGAGAGAGAGAGAATTCAACTATTTACCTTCATTTGGAATGTGTTTCTTTAAAAAGAAATTAATAGTAGCTTTTTTGACCAAAGCAAATAAGTGATACAAATTATGGGTGATAGCCAACTAAATTATCCTCAGAGTACACTTATTAAAATGAGTGGTCTGAATTTCATTAATATCAAAGGATTTCTTCTAAGTATGACTAATCTTAGATAGAATAATAGAAATGCGGAGTTGGAAATAGACCCCGAGGATCATCTAGTCCTGCTCACAGTAGTCCCTGGGCAAACCACCAACCTTCTAGTTAACAGCCAGACACACTGATTCATTGTGCCACTGTGTCTCCATATCACACTTTATTTTATGGGACAGAAGGTTCACAAACAATGGAATTATTCAGCAGAAATAATAATTCGGGGGTAACTGAAATAACTGTAAAGAAAAACTGAAGTAGTGTATAATTTATAATGGATTAAGAGTTAATTTGAGGCTCCTTTTCACCTGGTCCTGTGAAGTCACCAAAAATTTCAGACTAAGCATATACAGGATAAATTCATTTATATTTGTAATACATATGAACTAGCCTGGATACAGACAAGCTGCACCACCATTTTTAGAATGGAAGGACTTTCTACTCCTACCTAAGATTGTTGGGACAGTATGAAGGTGTTATTAAGGCTACTCAACAACCTTAGTGCTTGGCAGAGCACACCTCACCCCTCATTTCCCCTCTGTCTTCCAGTTCTTTGGCCATTATTAGAAAACACAGGGCTTTTCCACTTGACCTATTTATTGAAAATTCACCCTGATCTACTTGAACAAAGCTTACATGGAGGTTAGATTACATCCGGTCTTTGTTGAGCATTCATTCCAATTTGTTTGTGGGGCTAGTCGTCCTTCATTCATTCTGATTGTTTGCATTGTGTTCGTCCCACAGTTTTCAAAGCATTTCATCATGACTTTCCAAAGAGCACTTTAATCCGCTTTAATTGTACAAACCTAAGTTTATTACAGCATACAATTGAATCCCTCCTGCAAAATAGTGTCAGTCTGGAGACACCCTCAAAAGGCCACTGAGAAGTGGCAAGTTGCCCATGGGCGGGAGGAAAGGTGCAGATTGAAGACTTGTTTTAGTAGTCTATGGAACTTAGCCCCTACCTCAGAAACTAAGAAAGAAGGAGTACCCATTGGCTGAGTCCTTGGCAAAGCAAAGGAGGTTGGGAGAAGAGAAGGCCCAGATGTCCCACTTGGATTCCATATTGTTTTCTAATGTCTTAGTAGACAACATCTACATTCTTTGTGGTTTTCTGTGCAACCAGGAGGTTAAATGTTAGTGAAAACTTGCCTTCAAAATGTACTGCTGGAGCTATAGATTATGACTCAGAATCCTCCTCATGGGGCACTCCCACATTAATTTTTCTTTTAATTTCATTTCTTTTTCATTCCATTTTAAGTAGAATCAAGCTAGTATGGCATTTTCCACACCTTTGAGAATTTAATGTATTTATATCCACTGTAATTACATCCACACCAGTGGGTGGTGCACTGCTGCTATATCCTTATTCTGTATTTGCACAGACTCTCCTGTTTTTATAGACTTCCCACCCACTTACTGAGCATGTGCACAAGGAACAGCACGATTTTTTTCAGTCGTTTTTTTAATTGTCAGCCTCCAGGAAGAGGAGCTTGTTGTAGAATCATACTAAGTTCCTTTCTGCAGTCGTTTGCTTCGTTTGTGCTCCTTCAAAAAGCCTGGCATTTCTGCCATTAATGAGAGCAGTAATATTGACAACATCTGTCATTTGTGACAGCCTACAATTTTGATTCCCTCTGCATCTAAGGAGAGGCAGGATATGCTTGTTACTTTTGACACCTATACAGTGGTACCTCGGGTTAAGAACTTAATTCTTCCCAGAGGTCCGTTCTTAACCTGAAGCATCACTTTAGCTAATGGCGCCTCCTGCTGCCGCTGTGCCGCCGGAGCACGATTTCTGTCCTCATCCTGAAGCAAAGTTCTTAACCCAAGGTCCTATTTCTGGGTTAGCAGAGTCTGTAACTTGAAGCATATGTAACCTGAAGCATCTGTAACCCAAGGTACCACTGTACTAGACTTCATCATACTTACCTGCTTTTTTCCAGTCAGATAAAATCTGCATAATTTGGAGATGGAGGGAAATTGGGGCATGTTCAAATACAGCTTGGCATTGTGTGGATACACCCCTAAAAATGAAT